TTAATATACCCTGTTCAGGGTATAAAAATACATTTGATCACATAAAAAAATTGCACGTGCTTTTTCAATTGCCATTTCATTCAGGTTTTATATGAAAAGTGGTGAAGGTAAAAATAGTGTGATGTTATTCGTTAAATTATTGACTGAAACTTACGAAGTAAAAAATCATTAACGCAGCAATTTTCGGGGCACATCGAATAGGAGGAGAGGAGCTAGATGTTAAAAGACCGCCCGAGATGCGCAGTCATTAAATATATGAACATAAATCTGCATGAAAAACTAACGCTATAAATGAAAGTAACTAATGTGAAAGTATAAATATTTAAAAAAAATAAATGAAAGAAAACTAGAAAAATCGTTAACTATAATACCCTTCACAAATACGAAGGGTTCCTTAGAAAACCTTGATTCCGATTTTCAGTTTGTATGACTTCGGAGATTCCATTATTGCCTTCGATAACGCTCCGTTCCAAATTTCGTGAAGATATCTTGTCAAATGAAAAAAATTTCCATGCAAGCGCTGATTCCGATCGTTCAGTTTGTTTGGCAACTGTATACTGATATAGTAGTCCAACATGAACAATTTATTCGGAGATTATGTTGTTGGCTTGCAAATAATCCATGCCAAATTTTGTGAAGATATCTTGTCCAAAAAAATTTTTTCCGTTGATTCTGATCGTTGAGTTTGTACGTGGTCCGTTATCGTCGGTACCGACTAATGAGCAGCTTCTAGGGGAGAAAATGAAGTGTGGAAATTTTCAGATCCATATCTTAAAAACTGACAGACGGGCATTGCTACATCTACTCAGCTTGTCCCGCTGATCATTTATATATGTATGTATGTGTATATTTTAGATGATCTCCGATATTTCCTATTGAGTGTTACAAACTTCGTGGCAAACTTAATATACTCGCTTCAGTGTATAAATAGAGCAACTAAGGCCTAGGCTTGCCTCGTTTTATTGCTCCCACAAAGCTAACTCGTAAGCATATACATACATGTATTTTAATGATAATAATAATTTACAAATAATACGGTATTCTTTTTCAATGGAGTAATTCGAGATACATACCTCTGCCAGGTCTTCTTTGCCACCGACTAAAGCAAGTCTACATTTGCGATTTCTGTCTTAATTTTGCATGCTTTATGAACATGTGTATTTATGTTAACATGTGTATATATGTGTGTGTCTTTTACTTTTAATTTCCATTTACATCTCGATGTTATGACTGTTGCACTTTATTGTCGGCTGTATACTGTAGACAGCACAGGTACGCAACACCGCTGTGAGGACTGACTTCTTTGTTTGTTTTAGCACTTTTCTGTCGATTTTGTCTTCTTTGGTTTACTTACGCTCTTTTGTTTACTTTGTTTATATACCGCATGTGCAAGTTATGTTTATTTGAATATTTGTGGTTGCTGTCTGTTTTTATGTCAACGAATTTGCGTTGTTTGCAATGTCGTTACGCCAGGAGGAAGAAAGGTACCGGGAATACCGGTGGGATTCTGCTTAAAAAAAATTGTGTTTTTGTAAACAACCAAAAGTGAATTTTTCGATTCTTACAATGACTGATTTTGTTGAGCAAAGAACTTGCATCAATTTTGTTTGCGGACTCAATATTCTTGCAACACGTTGAAAATGTTGCGGAAGGCCTTTGGTGATAAAACTATGGCACAAAATTATGCCCCGCAATTATAAGCGAACAACTCTTGATTTTTCATCACAATAATGCATTATGTCATATTGCATTAGTTCTTCGACTTTATTGCCAAAAACTCGACTCATAACGTTCTGCAAGCACCGTATTCGTCTGATTTGGTTCCGTTCAACTTTTGGCTATACTACAAATTATTCAGGCGAGGAGATAAAAACCGAATCAAATCGAATTGAAAGCTATACCGGAAAAATATTATTCCGACTGTTTCGAGGACTGAAAACAGCGTTGACAAAAGTGCATTGTATCGGTCGGGGATAACTTTGGAGGGAATGAAATTTATTTGGAAGAATAATAATATTTTTGATCCCGGTATGGTTTTCAATATCATACCTATGTATGTAATTTTTTAAGTACTAAAATTTAAAGTCAATAAATGCTCATTTATTCTCCAATAGCTCAACTTGGACATGCTGTGTAATTTGCCGCCGGTGCTGTCAGCACCTGACGCGTTTTGCACCCAACTACTTGAACATATTCACGTACGCATTTATAAGCCATAAAACCGAGCTATTCATTTATGTACATGAAAAGTAATCGAAGTTGCGAAAATCTACAAGCTCGTAAATTAATGCGCGTACAAAGCGTACATTGTTTGAGACCAAAGTGGGTCACATTGGATAGGTTGCAATGAGTTTGCGTTTGCAAGACTAGCCCGGAGATTCACTTAATTTAAGAATATATGGTATACTTATGCATATTGACACACGTTATGTAATCTTACGTTAACTTAAGCTGCAATATTGTTTGGGAAGTGCCGGTTGTTCCTCGACTACGCTAACTCTTGATTATTTGCGATATGAAAATTTTTAAAAATAATAGAAAAGTACAAAGTCGATTGCTTGTGTTTATGTGACGGTCTTATTTCCTTGAAAAATATCTCAAAAATGCATACGTAGTTACTTTAATAAAGCAAATCTTGCGACTGTTGGCAGTAACTCTAGCCGTTGTGCGGCGATTATGGCGATCTGGCTACATTAGCACAGCTAGCCGTACATAAACATAGTCGACATAGCGACACAATGCACTATGTATCTATGCATATGTATGTATGCTATTTATTTGCAGCCAAAAGCTATAATCTGTGACGTAATCAAAGGTCGGTCGTTGCAGTTGCGCGGGTTTTTCATGCCCAACAAAGTAAAAAACTACAACAAATTTTCTTTGGAAAACCGACGACGCGCAGCTGCTGCTGGTATTTGTGGGTAATTTAGTGTGGCCGACGTTCGTATTACAAAATTATTACAAGCGCTAATTTTGCTAATTACACATCAACGCTACGTAAAAATAACTTTTAGTTGACTATACAAGTTGTATGTTGGACTTGTTGGTTTCTTGTGTACAAAGAAACTCTCTGTTTTATGAATGTTTTATGAGTGGTCACTCTACTCTCTAATTAGTGTCACTGCTTCTTTGATATGAGTATTTTGATAGAAGTGCTCAACATGAGCTTATTTATAGTTTTGAAGTTGAAAAATATTTATAGTTGATTTTAGCTGTGTTTTGGTTATCAACTGAACTCAACTTTCAATCAGCTGTTCACCCGAGAATACATCATTAACACAAGACTGCCAAAAAAAAAAAACAAGACAACCTGTTAACTTCGTTTGCACCAATCTTGTTAGATAAAAACGTTTTCCAGTTTTTGATACATTTTCGCTTTTAGTAAGCTTCTAGAAGGTCCGTCTGAAGTGTCCAAGAGTAGTCTACCATAATTGAGAGGGTCGATCTTCCTTGGATTTTCATTTCCATCTCACTTATATCTTCTATCACTCACACTCCTAAATTTTTTGAAAGCAGTTGAGGTGGAAATGTTGAAAATGTACTTTTAGACTCATTAGACAACCTAAAGCTTGAAATGATTTTAACATTTCTTTGCGCATTTGATTGTAGTTAAAGTGTTTGTCAATCCACCCCTCTCTTAGAGGATTCGTCAGAGTTTTGATGAACTGTGGATCAGCCATTAGCAGTCGAATATCTGGTCCAACGAAAATACCTGCTGCTTTAACTGATTTAAGGCTTTTTTTTGAAGACTCTATGAAAATATCTGCTACTTGCTAATGAGATCGTTAATATACCCATCAAACCTTCAACATTGGTACAATAAACTTACTCGTCCTCTTTGGGCGATATGTAAACCAGGAGGAACACACTCCTCAAACTCAAATTTTTAAGCAAAAATACGCGAAGTAATAAATATTAAGTTCTTGCTTCAATACCATATAATCGCCACAAATATAACAGAAACTGTCAGAGGACTACACTTCCGCAAAAACGACATTGTACTATATTCAACAAAGATCTACAAAACAATAACGAGTTACCAGGTAATTGTACCGCGCCACTTTCAGCCCTAACGGACGCGCACGTTCAAGTTACAACAAACTGTTCTTTATTAAGGCATCAACTACCTGGTAACTATACAACATATACCTAATTTACCTTAAGGTAAACAATACCTTTGATGTTGTCGGATATTTTCAATTCCCATTTATATTTATTTTCCATAATAGAATTCTAATTTTAAAATTGGTTATTTTAACTTGGAAGGGTAGAGGTGTTTTCATTATTACTCTGGATATTTTGTTTAGCGAGTGTTCTTTTGCGACTCGTTTATAAAAACGGGACTAATTTCTTTGTAGTTTCGAGAAGTAAATTTCTATGGCTTCATAATTTATGACATTATTTCATAAAATATTCAAACATATCCATAAGAAATATTAATTACCGAAATACCGCAGGAATGTATGTAAATAAAGCACAGCAAAATAATTTACAAACACGAACCGAATTTCGTCCGGAATGTAGCGAAACGGGTTACTCAATAGGATCACACGAAGTAACTCACAATGTTTGTATGTATGTATATATATATACAATATGAGTACTCTTTGTGTAAAGCGAACGATATGATCGCGATTTTCGTGTCGTCAATGATCACTTGAAAAAAGTGAAGCACTATTTCAAAACAACAACAGCGACTTAGGCAGCGTGCATGAAACGCAAAGCAAAAATGCCGTCGCCAAATTCCACGCAACTCGGCTAGCAAGTAGTATTTTGCAGACTTTGAACGCAAATCACTATTTTTCCAATTTTTCTCCACACTTTCGGCCTTTTCCCCCAGCCGTGTGCCATGCGAAGCGAAGCCGAAGCAGCAGAAATGTTTTGTAAACTATCTACGCCAAAAGCCAAACAAGCAGTATATTATTACACACATATTACAAACATACACATACATACTTAAATAAGCGCGTATATTTACTTTCATGCATACTATGCTTCAAACAAGTTGGCAACGCGCACTTTCGGCGGGAGTCGTCATCGAACAATCAGCGCTGTTGCTTAACGGCATGCATTTGCTGCTATCTGCCATTGCATACCTTTTGTTTAGCCGCAGGTACGGCTATGCGCATGTGCGATCAGCTGTTTGTTGTCGACGCGCGGCTTCAGGTGTCTCAGTCTAAGTTGGAACGTTAAAGCGGCGCGCTGCAGACAGTTCGAAACGAACAGGCGCGCGTTGATGGTCTAAACGCGGACGACGCTACGCGAGCGAAAACGTATTTAACGGTTAACGGCAGTCAATTTGTGTTTCCGTTTTTGTAAGTGCTAGGGATTTGTGGGAGAATAATAGGTGTGCTATTCAACAATTTAAATACAAATGTGTGTGTGATACAGTGATCGCCCAATAGTCTGACGTTGACGAATGTAATTTGTGTGCTAAAAAGCTGTGGTTAATACTTTTTTCGTTTTTAGATTTTAGACATTAATTAACCTTTCATATTTTAGCTGTTAAAAATACTTTTTTTTATTTGATTTAGATTCATAAAAATTTAAAATATAGAACAAAAATATTGTTTATTATGTAATATATGTAAAATAAATGTATTATATATTATTAAAATAAACCGTAATTAATACATAACAAAAAAATAAAAATTATAAAAATAAATAATATAAGAAAATATTAATATTGAGTTCTAAAAAAGAATGAGAAATAAAAAATTAACCAAAACTAATTACCATGTAATATAATATAAAACACAAAACTACAAGAAACCCAAAAAAAATTCTTAACAAAATTTAAAGCAAAAGGCACCTCAATCAGAAGAAAAATTAAATTAAATTTAGGTGAAAGGTCTACATATAAAACTTATTTAATACATTAAAAATTAATCTTAAAAATTTTTGAAAAATATTTTAAGCTAAAATAAAAATAAACTTTGAAACTAAATATATAAGAATAAAAATATAAAAAACTAAATGAGCAATAAAATCTATAACTAATATTTATATTAACAAAAATTAAATTTAAAAACTTTATAAAATATAAGGGCCAAAGGTAAAAAAATTATAACAAAATACAATAAAATGTTAAACAAAAAGTATAAAATCTGAAATTTAATGAAAATATTAATAAATAATATTAATGTATTTAGAAAAACAATACAATTCAGAAAAAAACTGGTAAATAATAAAGTTGATGATATATAAAAACTAGATCAAAACAAACAATTAAGTTAATAAAATAAACTATAAATTATATAATAATTTGACGAAAATAATAAAACGAGAAAAAACGTTAATTTCAGTTTCACCGAAGCTATAATACCCTTCACAAATACAAAAGGTTTCTTTAAGAAGTGGTCAGATCTGAACATTTTCTTCGTAGATTGCACAAACGCCTTGGATAATAATTCACCCCAAATTTCTTGACGAAATCTCGTCCAATAAAAAAGTTCTCGACCCAAGATATATATTTGATCATTCAGTTTGTTTCAACAATTTCTTTGGAGACTGCAGCGATGCCTTAGGCAATAATTCGTACCAAATTTCTTGAAGATATCTCGTCAAATCAAAAACTATTCCATACAAGCACTTGATTCTGATCGTTCAGTTTGTATGACAGCTATATGCTTTAGTGGTCCGATATCGGCGGTTCTGACAAATGAGCAACTTTTTGGCGAAAAAAGGACGTGAGCACAATTTCAGATCGATATCTTATAAATTGAGGACCTATTTCGAGTATATACACACAGACGGACATGGATAAATCATCCTAAATCGTCATGCTGAACATTTATGTATAAGTATGAATATTTTAAAGCGTCGCCGACGCTTTCTTGTGTGTGTTACAAACTTCGTGGGAAAATTAATATTCCCTGTTCAGGGTATAAATATTAATAATATAATGATAATACAATCATAATGATATATAAAGTAATAACAATTATAATAAAATCAAGCTATATATTTTACAGTTAAAATTTAGTTCTATAAAAGTAAAAAGTTTAGCAAAGGAATTTAGTTTTCAAAACACCTAGTTAAAAATCTTTCAAATTTAATTTTTTTTATTTTAGTTAAAAATCTTTCAAATTAAATTTTTTTTATTTTATTTTTTTTTTTTGTTTTTCTTTAGCTTTTTAACAACATTCATTACTTATAGCAACCCAAATTTTACAAAAGAGAAATTCAACAGTTTACAACAAAAAATTCAATGCAAATATTAAAAACTTAAAATAACACCAAGCAAAAACAAAAACAAATTCTGCAAAAATATGCAAGTGTGACCTACATAAACCAATACAACAATTATCGCTCAACGACCATCTTCGGTGTTAAACTCGTTTGTGCAACAATAAAAAAAAAACACACACGCGGTTGACAGGACGAGTTTTTTTGTGCGACTTGCTTGTATTTGCCTCTTTCTGCTTGTAAAACTTGGCAAGTACACTGTGCGGCGATAATAACGAAAATAAACAATAAATGTGTTGATCGAAACAAACAAGAAAGAAGTAGCGGCGACAACAGCAGGAACATCAACAAAAACAATAGCGAACACGATCAGTAAGTTACAAACGCTAGTTTAGGCTTAATATAAACGCAAACTCTATCTATGGTATTATTTACTCGTATGTAGATGAGAATGTGTAATAGCAGCAGACAAGAAAAGCGTTTTAGCCGTTGCACTGCAAAATTAGGCTTGTGCTTAGAAAAAAATATTATATATAACAAGTAAGGAAGGGCTAAGTTCGGATGTAACCGAACATTTTATACTCTCGCAAAGTCAAATGGTATACTCGTTTGAGATTTCTTTGTGGATTGACTGATATTTTCGGTAGAAGGTCAACTATAGGCACTGGGGTCCACATATTTAGTACTTAGGGGCTTGAACAGTTTTGGTTCGATTTAGAAAATTTTTGGTCACAAGGTGGCATACTTTAAACGTATTATTCACGCAAAGTTTTACGCCGATATAATCATTGTTGCTTGATTTGCATAGTGGAAAGTGAAAGAATCAAGTGGTATTTAAAATGGTGTCATATGGAAAATAGGCGTGGTTGTAATCCGATTTCGCCCATTTTCGCACTATGACATAGAAACATGAAAAGAACGTTATGCACCGAATTTGGTTGAAATCGGTTAAGCAGATCTCAAGATATGGGTTTTCACCTAAAAGTGGGCTGTGCCACGCCCACTGTCTAATTTTGAACGCGGTTCCTATAAAGTCATCTTATACCATCTCAGAGATAAAATTTAATGTCTCTGGCGTGTTTAGTGCTTGATTTATCGCGCTTTTAGTAGTTTTTAACAGTACCGTTATATGGGGAGTGGGCGGAGTTGCCACCCGATTTCAACTATTTTCACACCGTCAATAGAAGTGCTAAAAACATTTGCTTCCAGTGAATTTTGTTATTATAGCATTAGCGGTTTAGGAGATATGCACATTAAACCTATTAGAGGCGGGACCACGCCCACTTTTTAAAAAAAAATTTTAACTGCAGATGCCCCTCCCTAATGTGATCCTGTGTACCAAATAACAGTCTTGTATCTTATTGCGGAGCTTAGTTATGGCAAGTTATTTGTTTTTGATTAATGGCGTTTTGTGGGCGTGGCAGTGGTCCGATTACGCCCATCTGCAATACCAACCGTCTCACGGTACCATGAAACATGTCTACCAAGTTTCATAAAGATATCTCAATTTTTACTCAAGTTAGAGCTTGCACGGACAGACGGACGGACGGACAGACAGTCACCCGGATTTCAACTCGTCTCTTCATCCTGATCATTTATATATATATAACCCTATATCTAGGTTGCGAGAGTATAAAAAGTGGTGGTAAACTCCCATGAATGTGCAATTTTCTAATTTTTCCCATAGAAACGCGAAATTTTGCATGCCTTGGTGCTGTGGCAAGCGTAATTTTATATGTTGTAGCTAAATTTAGTTTTCCTTTTCGACACGCCTTCGTTAGCGTACAGCTATGACAATATTTGGGTGCAATATTAACTTCCACGACATAAATATTACTTTTTTTTTTACAATTTTTGTAATGGTTGTGCAAATTTTGTAAATTTTTTGAAAAATTTGTTTAATAAAATTATTATTATTTCCTTTTCTTTTGGATTTATTAACATTTGTGTATCACCGATCGCACATTTTTAGCGTTCAGCTCAACTATTAAGCCCATAATACATAAATTTGTGATAAAAAAAAACACGAAAGCTAAGCCTAGATTTTGCTTTTGAAGTGTTTTTGCTTTGGTTCCTACAAAAGATCTATTTTTTAACCAATTTCACACACATGCAACCACAAACTTGCATACATATAGTCATATTTACATACCATATGTATATATTTAACTTAATTACAATAATACCACCAATACCAGAGCAAAGCGCTGTTGAAAAGCTGAAAATGCATTAAATCAGCACAGCAAACAAAAGACTTAACCGACAAACTTGCCTCTGCCAACACAGCTCCAGCGATCTATTGATCGGCATAATAGCCATATTTGTCATGTAATATCGCTTTATTTGCGCCAATTTGCATAGATTGCTGAAATAGCACGCCATCGAATGAATGGCGCCAAAAGCGAACGGCGAAAAAGTTAATCACCCTGCAGTCGTAAAATGAAAATGAAAGGAAATTATATATTTGTAATTGCAGCGAAGGCAAACAATCATAACCAATAATGTGCTTTTACAAACATAATTAAATAAAAAATAAAAATAAAACAATGAAAAAAAATTAAATAAAGTGGCAGAAAAAGTCATCAAATTAGCGATTTTATTATGAATTATTCTAAATAAGCATTGAAAGCTTATTTGGTTACAATGTGGAATGTGAAGCAAGTAAGAAAAGACCACTGTGTACGAAAATAGAACAGCGTAATTATTCCAAAAAATATTATAATAAATATATTGTTTCTTTGTAACATTTCTATTCTATAATTGAAAAAAATTTCATGGAAAACGGCAAAAACAAGAAAAACCTTGATTTCAATACCCTTCACATGTGCTTTATTTTATAGCATAAAAGGGGATAAAAATGAAAGAAGGGTTGCACCGAAGCTATAATACCCTTCACAGAACTTGATTCCGATCGTTTAATTTGTAAAACAGTTATATGATATAGTGATCTGATTTTAATAATTTCTTCGGAGATTGCATTATTGCCTTTTACAATAACCCACGTCAAATTTTGTGAAGATATCACGTCAAATAAAAAAGTTTCACATACAAGTACTTGATTCCGATTGTTCAGTTTGTATGGCAGCTATAAGCTAAAGTTGTGCGATATCGGTCATTCCGACAAATAAGCAGCAGCTTGCACTGATTATTTATATACAAGTATATACATATATAGGTATGTATATATATATATGGTCTCCGCCATTTCCTTCTGGGTGTTACAAACTTCGTGGCGAACTTAATATACCTTGTTCTGGGTATAATAAATAAAGTCAATAACAATTAAATTAGAGCAGTAAAGCAGCTGTTGTACTTAAATTGCCTCACAGCAAATGTCTCTGCATGCCTTACATGTGACCCAGTGTATGGTGTATGTCAATGACAAGCTGACGCAAGAAAATTGTCGTGTTGCTGTTTACCTTCCATTGACTTCGGCAATTGAGGGTTCAAGTTGAATGTTAAAAGCCATGACAGTCAGTTGCACTTAGTTCAACCAAAGCACATTTGAGTGTGTGTGGTATTTCCCCTGTATATTCGTATAGACACATATGCATTTATTTTCCTACGCATTTAATTATCATGTATGCCATTAAGGTAAACATTTGATTGCAGTGCGTCTTTGGCTGTTCAATTGCCACAAAAATGGTTTTTGTTCGTCACTTTGGTAGTGGGTAATTTTAAATGATTGTTTATGTAAGATATACAAGTATGTATATATGGTTGTATTATTTACGAGTTTTATGTTTCTAAACAATTATATGCTATACATGTGTTTATTTTAAATTACATACTTAGCAATTATCCAACATATTTTATCAAACAAAAAACAAAGCAACAAAAATGTGCAATAAGAAGTCAATGATTTGAGTTTTTTTTCTTTATATATATAAATAATTTTTAACGTTAAAGCTTTAATTCCTTGAGTTTCTTCAAAAAATTAAAGTTTTAATCTATCATAATTTGTAAAAATTAAGTAAAGAAGTTAGAACTTGACTTTGTCTTGTTGTTTTAGAAGGAAACAGTCATTTTCCAGTGAATAACCACAAGTAATCGAAATGTTTGTGAGACTAGCAACATTTACATAGTAAGTGATCAAGAAAATAATATGCGTTTATAAGAAGAAATTTAAAACTATAAGCGACATTATTTATAGCGAAAAAAATATTACATTTGAGAATAGTTAAAAAAAAAATTTTTTTAGTGCAAATTCGAATACTGGAAGTGAAAAATATGTGTGCTGACATTCTTATAAATAACCAAAAAATATGTAGTTTTGTTGTGGCGACAGATAAAATACCACAAATAAATTCAAGAAATACTACCGAATGGTCACTAGTTCGCCTGGTACATATAATATATTTATGTGCATATACATACATACCAGTCAACAAAAAGTACCAGTTCATAACTAGAAATTCCTGCCTAAAATTGAACTACATTGAAAGCAACAGATTCATAACAATGGTTTTGAAAGTTAGTTCAGCAGGAGCCAATATTATTTTAAAAAAATCACAGAAAATCTCAACAAAATCCAAATAAAAATTATTCTTTAGTATGTTATGTAAATTGAGTCATATATCGGTTTGGAACTAGTACGAGACTTATATATTTCAGAATGAAATCTCTTAACTGACACAAGTATCACATGATGACGTTAAACATACTGGTAGTTTGAATGGAAAAATAACAGTAGGCTGACTAGTTGATTTTGTGGTTAATATTAATTGCAAAGTAGTTTATATAGTAAGTTTGGGCACTTATTGATTTACGCAATACAAATGGTTATTTCGTATGTATGTATGTACATATACATATGTATGGAATCATATTGAGCACTTTACCCAATATTTCTAATTAATTAATAAAGCGAAGACAAAAGTGGGACACAAATATAATAAGGTGTGTAGATCTACATGCTCTAAATTTTATCACAATCATATTTCAAATATTATTTGCATATCATTTGCCTTTATGGGCCGCTAGTTACAATTGTAACCGAACACCACCTACGGACATGGAAATGAGTTTGCAACACGCGAAACGCGCTTTACACACCCATGCAGAGACACATACGCAAACGAACACACCGCCCCACATTACAATAAATACGCATCACGCCAATGAACGGCCAAAACGACCTTGACAGACTGACCAAAACAACAGCAAAGAAAGATATGTGAATCATATGTACGCACATATACACACACACATACTCACGTACGCACTAATACTTATAAAAAATACAAATAAAAATAATTTCACTGTCGATTATCGCTGACATAACTGTGCGCTACCTTAGTATGGTATTATGGAAGGCAGAGGTACATTTTTGAACGCCTGACAGCTGTCACCAACTACAAAGCAGACGTTCACAAGTCGCTCAGCATAACTTTTGTCTCCTCAAAATAGTGGAATGCATTGCTAAATACATTACGTTAACTGTTATCCCAAAAAGATTTACGAAATTTTAGCCGAATGAGCCGTTAGTCGTTAAAATGGACCATTTAAATAAAGGGCGATTTTGGCTTGAATCAAAAACTAAAATGAAATGCGATTGGTCGAGAGTAAATTTGGCAATAAACCAATACGTAATAACTGACAAAGAAGATGTGGAGAAAATAAAGTAGTGTGTAAAGCGAAAATGAGATGAATTATAGTAAAATGAGGGGCAGAACGTAGGGAAAAAGGGAAAGGGGAAAAAAGGGAGGCATAAGGGAAAAAAATGAGAGGGACAAGGATAAAATAAGGGAAAGAGCGCAGCAAACAAAAATTGGTTAAACACAAGAAGCACTAAACTGTTCAAAGTTATTGACATGCTATGCATTACAAAGACTGCTGTTGTTGTAATCAATGTGATACTCATAAGTGGAAGTCGGTCAAAAAGCCGGTTCATTGCTACAAGTGTCTAGGGGCATGTGTTTTACATGTACATATGTGTGTACACATCGAAATACCACTACACTTGCATTTAATGGAACTCATCACCGAGTAATCAAGCAAATTATATTGAAATAAAAAAAGCAAATACAAATATAGAAAAAAAATTAGGAAAAAAAAATTAAGAAAAAAAAATTTTTTTTTTAAATTAAAATTAATTAAAAAATTAATAAACAAAAATAGAACATAAAATAAAAGTAAATAATTTAAATAAATTTACATATGTAAAATTTATTTAGTTTTACTTCAATAAGCACACCAAATGTGTAAACTTAAAACCAAATGAAAAAAATGATATGGAATGAAAATAAAAACGAAAGAATCACATTATACTTTTAAACTTTAATTGCAAAAAATACTAGTTAATATTACAAACATCAACAAAGGCTGAATAATTATATATATTTGCTTGGCTTATCAAATATAAATCAAGTGTTGTGAACAAAAAATTTTCACAGAAATAATTACATAAATAGACCAGTGCAGAAGCCTTTGAAAATGGTAAAGAGTGAAAGAGATCTATAGTAGGTTAAAACCCATTGGAAACGAAAGATGAAATAACAAAAGTGAAAGGAAAACTACTTTTCGCGCGATCTGAGGTCGGAAAGCGGAGGGCGTGGTTGAATTTTTAATGCTTACAAACGGTTTATCTCGATTTCCGGAAAATCTAGCTATAGAAAAAAGTTATATGGCAAAGTTGTTACTAATGAAGAGATCTACAACTTTTGTATAATATTTACACTTTTCCACTTAATTCAAAATATATGTGTGAATATTTTTGGGTTTTTTACTTTTATCTTGTACAAAACAATGTTCTTTCAAGATATTTGGTGTATACTTACCTTTTTATGCCCAAAACATAACAACATACTGTACTTTTTTATTTAAAATATTTAGGATCTATTTAATCTTATTTCGATTTTTAATTTAAAAAAAAAACCCTAATATTCACTTAAAAATTGTCACATCGCAATATCAGAGTTTTTCAAAAAAGTTAGTAGGCTTATGTTTGTTGTAATCTCTACTTTCTGACGGTATAAAAGGTATAAAAAAAATATTTGTTAATATGATACATTTTCTCAGAAAATGCATAACAAGACCCCACTAATAACGTACTATAAAATAAACACAAAAGAAGTAAGAAATTTTAAGCATGTAATGTAAATACAAAATAGTTGAACTTCTTAAAAAATATTTAGAAATATTAAATATGAAAATGAGTATAATATGAGCGGTCTTTGAAGTCGAATCTTCTGCTCTCTTGGCAAAAAATGTACATATTCAAAAAAGCAACAACGTTTTCCAGTACAATTTAATATAAAGAATTATGAGGCTGCTATTAACTATGTGTATATATGTATGTATATATGTTAAAAAATTATAAAAGTACGCATTTTCACTTCCAAGCTGATACACATAATTTACTGCATCAGTGTTCAATATACAGTTATCAACCACACACAAAAATAAACAAACGCCTATAACTAGGCCAAATATATTTAAGTTCACAAAATTACTTTAATGAGGGAAAAACATTGCATATTTTCAGGCATACGAGTTGATTGTGCAGACTGGGCAGAGCTCTAAATATTTGCAATGCATTTTAAGAAATAAGCAAATAAATCTTCAAAATATTTTTTTGTTCATTTTTAATTTATGTAATTTAACTCGAATCTTTTTCACAATTCTGACAATGTTAAAACATTTTTAGCCTTTATAATTCATTTCGCTAAAGAAAAACTTTGATACTTAAATGTTGTAACTCTTTTCAAAAATGATTATACGTGTTTTTTAAATACAAGTCGAATATTTTTCTTAATAAAACACACAAAACAATATTTATAATTATAAAGACTTGAAAGTTTGTAACTTTTGCTAAAAAATTGTGTATAAGCTGCAAATTAGAAAATTGTTAACCTTTTATTTTATATATCATTTGACTTTATTAATAAAATTTCGAAGTATTAAATTTTGTTTGTGATTTCAAATTGTATTAAAACCAAGATGAATATTAAAGATTTTCGGACTAATAGCTCAATTTAATATTTTTATAGGCAGATCTGGTTTTTGCGCCGTGACAAAAATAAATTTTAATTAAAATTTATAAATTTGAAATAACAACAGCAACAAAGGCAATATTTCTCGCAGTCATTGGTAAGTGTCTATGCATGTACATATTTGTATAGGCAGTATATATACAATCTACATGAACTTGTCTTTGATATCGCCGAATATTTAAACAAATTATCAAGTATACAGATATTGTTAATAAAATTAATTTTCGGCAATGCTATAAATTAATAATACCGTTAGAAAAAACAAAGTGGTAGTATGCATACTGTATGTGCGGTAAATCTAAACTCAAGTGAATGGGTAAAAAAAAATATTAAAGATAATGAAATAACTTAAAGAAGCAAAATGTTTCAGAATATTTTTTATTTTTATTATTTTCATTAAAAGTAGGCGAAGAAAAAATATACAGGTTGATGTAGTTAACCTTCGAACTACCAACCGGTCAATATGAGTGGTTTCAAAAAGTCTTCACAAGACTTTTATGTGAATCCTTGCCTTTTATTTTTTTAATATGTCATGAGTTTTGCGAAATTAATTTATTGATCATCAATATCGGATCACTATAGCATATATCTGGCGTACAAACTGAACAATCGGAATGAAGTGATTGCATAGGAAACTTTTTTATTTGACGTAATATCTTCACGAAATTTTGCATGAGTTATTTCCTAAAGCAACAATGTAATATCCAAAGATATTGTTTAGAGCGGAGGAATATGCCATATTAACTGAACGATCAAGAAATTGTTCAGATCAGATAACTATATCATATAGCACCGATATGCACATACATTGAACCATCGGAATCAAGTTCGTATAAGCAACCTTTATATTTGTGAATATAATACCCATAGCTTCGGTGCACCGAAGTTAACGTTTTAACTTGTTTTGGTCTGATTTTACTGTCTTGAGAATTTATTAAATATTGTTTTATTCAGTTTTCACATTACCTATGCCGTAAAATACCTATTCATTGTTGCTGATCTTTGTACATAAGGTCGGTTTTGCGAGAGGAGGATAATTGTAGAGTCATTAAAAAAAAAAAAAACATAAGTATACTTGGAATCAGTATTTTGATTATTTTATATCTTAAAATATATGTATTTCGTATATTCTACTTCAGTTATAAAACTAGACATAAATAATACCAAAAAGTCTAAAATAGTTAGAATGTTGAAAGACAAAATAAATACCATTTAAGCGAATACCTATCCGATACAGAAGAAGATGGTTATAAGTTGGAGGATGAGAGAGGCAAACAAGATAGTAATGATTCGGAAAACTCCCTTATTGTGCGTCGACGAAAACATCGCAGTATAAGATTACCGTCATATTCTGATGGTAGTGGTCACGAGCAGTCTGAAATTGTTGCCGATGGCATAAACTAGTTCCTCCAGTCCTTTAAGAATATAACTGAATACCATTTTAGGACAGCTAGTGGACCTACATATATCATATGCAAAAAGAAATATAATAAAGGATAACGTAAAACTGCCTTTAAATGATAATGAATCATCGCTTTATAGACTAAATTATAACATGCACTACTCGTAAGCTGAAAGATACAGGAATCTCAGGTAAAAAATTGGAACTATCTCAAGGAAAATTTTACAGTTTTAATGGAATTTTAAATGCATGTGGAGCATACCAAACAAGAAAAATGGGAACGAAATTTATAGAAGTAAGCCAACTCAGAAAGTAATTCTTCTTAGCACATTTAGCTTGTTACTTTTACGTATAACTTAATTTATTTATATCTTTTTCTAAAATTGTATACGAAAAAGGACCTGTGTTCACAATAAATTTATTGAAATACATACATATAATGAATACTTTCGACAAGTCAATCTTGACATGTTGATATAAATAGGTTACATTGACCAACTGGAAGGGTAGTTCTACAACACGAGTATAAAATTGGGTAACTATTAATCAATGAAAACCACGAGTTTAATCTTACATTATAAATAACAGAAAATTAATCCAAATAATTTATTTTAAATAACTTTTTTTCATGTCATGTTTTGATATTTTCTCACAACGGCGAAAAAGCCCACTAAATAATACAAAATACTTAAAATAAAAAAAAATTATGAAATTTATGAAAACATTTTCAATTTTAGTTTTTTCTCCTTTTGTGTTTTTGATGCATGACTCATCGATTACTAAACAATTAAACCACTTCAAATTATAATATTTGAATTAAAAAAATATTTGACTCCAAACCGATAAATATACAATAATTAAATAAAACAAAAACCGATAAATATACAATAATTAAATAAAAGAAAAAATTTTCATTTAATTTTTAATTTATCCACTTATCAGGGGTTTCAACCACGTTTCATCGGTTGCTTGTTACTTACTAAACCCACTCAATATGAAAGTTTTGATTTAAAAAATGTAATTATTTAGTAAAAAGATTTGCATTTCATTTTTATTTTTATTTTATTAATTTTTTTATTGTTATGGTACAGCCGGAGATTTGAACAACGACCGACAGATTGGTGGTTACATTTCAAAATCATTAAATTATGTAAAATATTTGCAGCAAAACTAATTTAATTAACTATAAATAAACAATAAATAACAATACATAACGGTAAAAAAAAATTAAAAAGTCACAAAAACTTAATGCCACATACCATAAGGCATTTTTAACACTTTTTTTTAAACTAAGCACTATAATTAAAAAAAAAACACAAGAACAAATAAAGACAATTGACCTTGCCAAGTGATTTCAGCTATACGGAAACGGAAGTTAACACCGCTTAGCACAACATACACACACACGACCACAACTAACCGAGAGCTATGAAAATGCTAATTTGCCGATACGAGTATCACGCTGTCACGAATGACGACTTCTGCAGGCAAATAATACGGCTTTTTACCACTAAATTTATTTTCTTTCTTTTCGAATGCTAATTCTTAAGCGACAGCAACACTAAAACATACGCCGACTGAATCATTTATAAATCAGTATTTTAATAAAACTAATTTGAACTTGAAATGCCTGAATTTTAAGCAAGTAATTGTTGCCAATCAAAACATACACACATATTTTAGGGGTGTGTGGTGAATGAAAGATATTGGAAATTTTTCGCTTAGCTAATGGAAAAAAACTTGATTCTTACGCAAAAATATTTTGACTCAATAAATGGGCGCAAGTTCAAGGTGAGCTTAAATACAAAAGAATTTATTCTTAATATTATACAATGTTTGTTATTAGACCATGCTAAATGCACAAATTTAGACTGTTATATGTGTTAATATATGCATAGAATATATGTTATAGAACTAGTCATACGACAAAGAACTTGAAATTTTAAACAGATTTTGCTTTTATTTTGAAATACTTATTTATGAGTTTATGAGAATGTATGGAGGTAACTTATTGACAAAAAAATTTAATATTCACTGTCGATTTTAGTAATATAAGATTTATATATTTCTTTTTTCCTAGGTATTTTTCACGACGCTGTCTTATAATATTTCGAACTGCGAAAAAACTCACAAAAATATCTTATATAAGTAAAAACGTTACACCCTCCCTCAAAGGTATAATTATGGAGTATGATGTAATAACAAGATTAAATAATTTCTTTTCTTGTCAGTAAATTATTTTTATTTTATAAAAGTAAAAACATAGCATCATGAAATAAGGTTTCGACTTGACTTGACAGAAATTTGAAAAAAAAAGTATAATTTTAAAAGTAATGGTTGTTTGGGTTGCCCCAGTTCCAAAGCTCTTTGCGGTGACCATCACTAATCCTTAGAGATCGCACTAAACTCAATCGGCCAAAATAATCTAGTGCCTGATCGAAGCTTTTTTAATTAACAAAATGGCAGCCTCAAAAAATTGTTTTCAGATTTTCGAGAGATTAGATTTTTTCCAACAGTTAATTTTATTATAAAAAAAATCAAAATTCTGAGAAAAATTCTTCGGTCAGGCACAAGTATTTCATGTTTCCGAATAAAAATCATTGAAGCGGTTTTCAATCTAAAGTGGTCAACCAGTTTAAAAAACACAGTTTTGGGACAAAGCTTTTAAAGTTTTGGCAGCCAATTACATTACGTTAAAAAAATTCTTAAAAATAGGCTCACATCTTGCAAACTACTTGCCAAATCAACAATCAATTTTAGAAGAATATTTCTAAGATATTATATTTTGGGATAATTAAAAAAAATTATTATTTTTTGAAAATACTGACTACCCCTAATGCCTTATGTGAAGTCTAGTATTTAACATGCCTGTTTAACACAAAAAGGAATAATTTATAAAAATTACAGTTGCTGTGCTCTCTAACAGCTTTTGACAGTTCTCCCTGGTAAGTTAACATAACGTAGGTAAAATTATTAAATTTATCGTCAGTTACTACAACAAAATTTTCATAAATTCTTAAAAGAAAGAAAAGGTTATTAATTAACGGAGATGTTTCCAGCTTTGAAAATATATAGTTTGGCATGAAAATGTTCGATTCAATGTTACAATGTTATATTTCAGCAAACCTGTATAACATACATACCACATATAATTGTATTTGTTCTTAATTTCGGTAGACTAATAGCAATTAGATAATTACAATATATTGATAATTAATTGACAATCAATTGTTGTAAAATCCCCTTGCAACCTTGACACGTGGTTTCAACTTAACTGATTACCTAATTATTACTTGTATATCAAAAATTTTAATAAAATTCTCCATACAACCCTCTCAGTAGGAAAAGCGAATTCGAGGAAAGGCCATATAAATATAATGATTAATTAATATTTAGTATTTCATTGACAATAAATGTAATTTTCAAATGAAACTCTGTCAAGTGAGTTCACTGAGAGCTGTAAAATACAATGTGCGAGAAAGTGAGACAAAAGGTCATCAAAGGAAAAGGCAACAAATCAACAGCATATATTTTAGTTTTTTCGGTACAAAACGTGATCCAATCAATACTGGTTTATGTAGAAATGTTCACTATTTCTGTTATCAATTAAGAAAAAAATCAAAGATTAACAAGTTTTAAAAAACAATTACAAAATACTTCTCAACAATTACACAATACTAATTATTTAAGCTTAATGGAGTGTATTTGAACCGCAAACAATTTTATCAACTAAGATGCTAATTGCCTTGACTAATTACCCTGATCTTGGTATAAGAATGCTTATATGAAATTAAAGAAAGATAATTTTGAATTGTCTCCTTAATTCAACTTAATTTAGTACATTTCAATCGGGAAACACTAAGATTTAATTAATTGTGCTGTAAGGATGTTTAAAAGCATTTTTTATAGTGCCTTCAATTTATTTACCTTGCGCAATTTATTTAGATTGCCGCGAAGTTTGTAATAGCCAGAAGGAAAGCTCGGAACCCCAATTAACTGCTAACAAACTAATCGATCAAATACATGTCCTTGTATGGAAACTTCTTTATTTATGTAGGGTATTCTAGCTTTTGTGCAACCGAAGTTAAAATTTTTTCTAGTTTACCCATGCTTTCATTCTTAGATAGCAGTTTTATAATACATAAAGCTTTCTGACTAACATTACAAGGATAATATTAAGTATTCACTGTACTTATACGCTTAGTGGTGTCAGCCTGCTTTGCCAATCATGGCCAACGCTCACGTTCTTATTATAGTTTTGTTAATTTGTTTGCGTCTCCACACAATATACTCGTATTTAACTTTCAGCCAAGTCAATAATTTAAATATAAGCAAAATGCTCAAAAATGTCTTTCTAGATATTTCTAACGCGATATTCCTTGAAATAACCGCTTATGTATGCATGCATGTCTGCAATTATCAACGTATGCAGAATATAGAAAATCACTAAAGTAGTCAAATATAGTTATTGAAACGAATTCGATTGGTCACCGCTAATAATTGTTAACAAAGAGACGAACTCAAACAATAATAAAGCGCGAACAAGTTAAGCGTTTCAGACCAGCGCTGAGCAAATCTAATTTAATATCAACAAAAAGTCAAAAGAGAATAAAAAATAAAATTTCAAAAACAATTCTACACAAATCACTGCAAAAACTGACTGCAAATAAATTTCCTTCACATGGCTGGTAAATCTTATTAAATTTACATATATATGTGTGACTTGTCGGTCGAAAGTTAAAGTAATATGCTTAAAATAAATAATAGACAAAACTAATTGCGCTATGTAAATTTACATTAAGTAAACAGTGCGGCACCTTGTGGCTTAACTGAATTGTCAAGTAATTGAATACTACATAGAAGTAATGAAAACCAACAAAAGGTGTAAGAACATATATATGTATTTATTCCAAATTTTTATTACTTCACGACTTTATATTCTCGTTTTTTTTCATTTATTTGATTTCCTATTTGTCAATTGTTGTTTCCTTAGGCAGTAACTGGGTCAATGACTAAAGCAAAAACTCATACAAACACATCAAAAATCTCGTTGTTAAAAAACAAAAGACTCACGCAACGAACTTGGTACTGACGAACGCTTCCTATCATACGCAAAATTGATTTTATTTAAATTTAGTGCGCATGCGTTACTAATAATAGGTAACGAAACAGTGTCACACACCACTAAAGATACAATTTTTGTTTATCCACAAGCAATATCGTACTGTTTTATTTTTTTGTTGATTACATAGTTATTATTAAGTAATCAAACAGTCTTAATAGAACTAAATACTGGCATACTGCATTAAAAATCTTTTTGTTATTGTTTTTTAATAATTATCATGTTTAAAAAACGAGAAGAAACGTTAACTTCGGCTGCAACGAATCCGATCTGAACCATTTCGGAGAGTGTGGTGTTGACATGGACAATAATTCCTGCTAAATTTTGTGAAGGTATCTCGTTCAATAAAAAAAAGTTTTTCATACAAGAACTAGCTACATATGATCATTCAGGTAGCACGGCAGCTACATATGTATAAGTATATGCTATAGTAGTCCGATTTGAACAACTCCTTTGGATAATGTAGCATTGCCTTACCAAATAATATATGCCAAACCTCGTGAAGATATCTTATCAAATAAAAAAAAGTTTTTCATACAAACATTTCATTTTGATCGGTCAGTTTGTATGACAGCTATATGCCATAGTGGTTTTGGTGGTTCCAACAAAGGAGCAGCCTCTTAGGGAGAAGAAGAACGTGCGCAAATTTTCAGAGCGATATTTCAAAAACTGAGGTACTAGTTTGCGTATACATATAGAGACGGATGGACAGACGGACAGACAGTTGAACATGGCTAAATCGACTCAACTCGTCATGCTGATTATGTACATAGACATATGTATGTATAGTTTATAGGGTCTCCGACGTTTCCTTCTGGTACTACAAGCTTTGTATACCCTGTTCAGAGTATAATGATACACATGGGTGTGAAATTATATATTAAAACGTGCAAGTAACGTACAATACATAAATGTAGTTATAATAGAAATTAAAAAAAATTAAATCAAAGGAGGAAATTATAATACGCTCTAAAAAATTGTTCCAAAACCGCAGCTGGTTCAACACTCTTCCTCTGCCCCCTTTATAAAAAGCCTTACCGCGCATACAGTTCTTTATGACAAATAATTTTATTGCACAATGTTTTTAAATAAATAAACGACATTACAATGTACTCAAAATACAGTTATTTTATGATTTAAAAACTACTTTTAATATATATTTTTTTTAATTACAACACATTACATTTTCTAGACCTTGAACGTTTTAAATCAACTGTGCCATAACAGCTCGTGATATCATTTCTTTGTTACATAAGCAACATACAAGCAAAGTTAATTATTATTTACTCATTGAGCCTCAAATTAGGCCTTTACGCGGACAGTAACCTGCCTTCCAATTATATAGTAAGCTATTTATTCTTTAATTTGTCGCAATTGAAATGTTTACAGATTGATAGTACTATCTCGGCAATGCAGTCGAGACAAATAACTGTTTAATTTGCGTCAGTAGAAACCAAATTAATTACAATTAATTGTATATTTGGCGCAACAATTCTTTGAAGCCAATCAAATCGCCAGCACGTGCATGGAGCTTGGGAGATGATTGCGATGATGCACTTATTATTTTCATTGCTCATCAAATCTCTTATTATTATTATTTTTTTTTTGGTTATTTAGAAAGCCGCCAGTATAATTTTCCCCAAATAAAACCAAATTAATTAAAAAATAAAATTGTCACGTTTTCTTTCTTCCACCAGTTCAAGTATGGAAAAATCCAACCACTCACGTTGATCGCGTATACCGCTTCTTCTTGGTTGTCTCCAGTGTGGTTTATATTAAGTAATCAGATTCAGGTTTAGGTCAATCGTTTCAGCACTTCGGGATTTACCTTTAAATATTCACATTAATATCACACCTGTTTTGAACTTACTATTCCTCTAACGCGATCCGAGGAAACTTTCACTGTACTACTTATACTCGTATCGACATCGTCCCAAAGCTTATATAACTATGTATTTCACACTTTGCGACACACATATAATAAAATTAGTGATTTAAGGGATGGAAAATACTAGCGGTCTAAATTAGATATCAAAAAATATTTGTTTTTGCCTTATGCACTTCTAAGAGATGGCATAATCTCTTTAAGAGCTGTGCTTGCCTTCCAAAGTAAAAAAAAAACTCTGGATTTATAGATGCATTTATAAATATATTTTAGGAATACACTGTAAAATTTTTGTGAAACAAAATTAAATATTTTGCGTGTTAGACGCGATATCAGGTGGAGCTAAAAAATACTGCCACTATTGCCGTCTCCGTGGATGAAACCTAAAAATAAAAATTTTCTACAAGAAGATATTGTCTGCACAATGAAATACGGTCAAAAAGATCAAAACTTGACAAAATAGTGTCTTTTTAAAATAGGTTAATTTTTACCAAAAACTATTTGAAATTTCGATATAAATTTTTAATGTGTTATTTTTCAGGGTATAACTTATCGAAGTATGATAAAAATCGATTTTTTTAATTCCACAGTAATTGTGCACCTTAAAAATGAAGTAGGTACAATCACAAACTGACCACGAACAGAAAACAACTTACGTTTCGTAAAAGAGAAAATTTTTAATATAAAGTCAAGAAATCAGGGACCAGCGCCTGCTAAGCGCACGCAAGCTCCATTGGTCCAGTGCTAGAATGCAAGATATGGCAAAGGAGGGCCAACTCGGTCCCATTTCGATGTGAGCGGGGCAAGGGTGACCTCTCTGGTTAGCTCATCGGCTTTGCAGTTATCAGCATTTGCGTCTTCAGCGCTCATATATCCCGTACAAATTTTAACGAGCCACTTTCACTATCATAGAAACTATACCAGCCTGACAGTATTGATTTTTTTGCATATGTTTTCACTCACTAAATTTATTATAGTGCCAATTAAAATATATAAATGATTATCGTTGATTATACTTATGAATTAATATTATTAACTATAATCCACGTTTCATTTAAATGTTTTATAAAACGTGTGATATATATTGAACTCACTGAGAAGTGTTCGCAATCAACCGGTTTCATCAAAAGTAAGTCACATTTTTTCTAGTTAAGGATCGCTCACCTGAAAGAAAGCAAATCAAAAACATCATTTAGAAATTATTTTATTAATTGCAAATAAAAATATATAAATATACAGCTAATTTATTTAAACAAACATAAATGTAAATATTTAATGAAATCAAAATAATTCATAACATTTTTGCATTAATTAACTATTCCACGAACTTTTTATATACAAGTATAGTACGCCACTGTTCATACATAAAAACTGTATTTATTTGTTTTTTATTTCTTTTTTTTTGTTTAAATTACAGTAACGCCGTCGGACGTGGTATTGTCCGCATCACAGCACATTTAACAATGAGCAAGCGGAAAAAACTGCTGCAAAGGTTCATAACGTGATAACAGTTACTCGAAAAACTACACAATCTGGCAAATATAAACAGTTTATAAAATAAACTCCTCGAAATCTAAGTGACTACGGCATATTAATCGCACTCCAAAGACAATGGTACTCAATCTACTCTTCATAACGACTGTGATAAAATCTACGTTCGGCGTAGTGACTACCGGCCTTTGGCTCATACCGTTACTGCTCGCCGCCATTACTTACTACCGCTACGATAGCGTCGATCCAGAGGCTCGACCCATCGATCAACTGAATCTGTATCCTGAATATGATTTCATTGTAGTGGGCGCTGGTTCGGCCGGCGCCGTGGTGGCCAATCGACTGACAGAAATGCGTAGATGGAAGGTTCTACTCATCGAGGCGGGTCCAGATGAAAATGAGATCTCCGATGTGCCCTCATTGGCCGCCTACCTGCAGCTGAGCAAACTTGACTGGCAGTATAAGACACAACCGTCCAACAAAGCCTGTCTCGGCATGAAAAATAATCAATGCAATTGGCCGCGCGGTAAGGTGCTCGGTGGCTCGAGTGTACTCAACTATATGCTGTATGTGCGTGGCAATCGACATGACTACGATTACTGGGAATCGCTAGGTAACACCGGCTGGGGCTATAATAATGTGCTGCATTACTTCAAGAAATCGGAGGATAACCGTAACCCCTACCTAGCTAAAAACCCTTATCATGGACGCGGCGGTTTAATGACGGTGCAAGAATCACCTTGGCACTCACCATTGGTTGCCGCTTTCGTGGAAGCGGGACGCGAGATTGGTTATGAGAATCGTGACATCAATGGTGAGAAGCAGGCTGGTTTTATGATTGCACAGGGCACTATACGTCGTGGCTCACGTTGCAGCACCGCAAAGGCTTTCTTACGTCCAATTAGATTGCGTAAGAATTTCCATCTCTCTATGAAGTCGCATGTCACCAAAGTAGTCATAGAGCCAGGCACCATGCGCGCTCATACCGTGGAGTTTGTTAAGAACGGTAAGGTATTTCGCATACGCGCAAGACGGGAGATCATTTTGTCCGCTGGTGCTATCAATACACCGCAGATAATGATGCTATCAGGCATTGGACCAAAGGCGCATCTGGAAAAACATGACATACGCGTGCTGCAGGACCTGCCGGTTGGTGAGAACCTGCAAGATCACGTTGGTATGGGTGGCCTCTCGTTTCTGGTTGACAAACCTGTCGCTATAATACAAGATCGTTTCAATCCCACGGCACTCACCATGCAATATGTACTGCGTGAACGTGGACCGATGACTACGCTCGGTGGCGTTGAAGGATTAGCCTTTGTGCACACACCTTACTCGAACAACTCCATCGATTGGCCTGATATACAGTTTCATATGGCACCCGCCTCCATTAATTCGGACAATGGCGCACGCGTGAAACGAGTACTGGGTCTTAAAGAGTCACTCTACCAGGAAGTTTATAAGCCGATTGCCAACAAAGACACCTGGACGATCATGCCATTACTGTTGCGTCCACGCTCACGTGGTTGGGTGCGTCTGAGCTCCTCAAATCCCTTCCACTATCCGCTTATTAACGCGAACTATTTTGATGATCCGTTTGATGTAAAGACTCTGGTGGAAGGTGCAAAGATTGCGCTACGCGTAGCAAACGCTAAAGTCTTCAAACAGTTCGGTTCGCGTGTACACCAGCGTCCAATGCCGAATTGCAAGAAATACAAAATATACTCGGACGACTACTTGGAGTGTCAAGCGCGTACCATCTCAATGACAATTTATCACCCTTGCGGCACTGCCAAAATGGGACCGGCTTGGGATCCTGAAGCGGTGGTCGATCCACGGCTACGGGTTTACGGCGTGCGTGGACTGCGTGTAATCGATGCCAGTATTATGCCAACAATCAGTAGTGGCAATACAAATGCGCCGGTCATTATGATTGGCGAGAAAGGTGCTGACCTCATCAAGGAGGATTGGTTAAAAAATCCGGAATATCGCGCAGCGGCGCCGAAGAGTTAGCCCACTATGATATAGCTATGATTAAGGGGGTAATAAGCGTAAGCTTTTGTGGGAACTATTTGGCTGTTATGCCGTCAGTGCATGTGACGATCATAAATCAGGGCGTACGTGAGCTTTATACCGTAAGCGGTGCCATCGAGCGGATGGTGTTTCAAAACACCGTCTCATACACATAGTAAATAAATTAACTGTAGACCTTTTTTAATTATGTTCCATAGGAGCTACTTTTTCCATTCGAGTCATATATCTTTATTTTAAGTTTTTTTCGCTGCCTAAGCTCCTCCTACATGCTTATTTCACACATTTATCACTATATGATAATTTATCATTAATTAATAGTGCATCACTATATGTAATTTATTGCTGCATACATATTATTCGCAAACATTTATCGACTACATCATCACCATTCGCAATAAAAATTATATAGTAGTAGTAATAATGTAAATATTGTTTTAAGTTATTTAAAATTATAATTTTACATACATATTAAACATAATTGTTAAACTGAATAAACAAAATATGTTATGCTCTTTGAAATTGGTTTTATTTGAAAAATTTATTGAATTAAATTGAGGTTATATCAGGAAACAGCTGAGTTGTAATACCAAGCTAGATGTATGAACCGACTGAACGAGTCAATAGACAATTAGCACTTGAATCGTGAGTAGGAGATGAGGACCATTGGTCTTCCTCGTAATTCTCACCTTACTCGCATCGCCGTTAGAAGTTGAAAGACTGACGTTAGTCTTGCTTTAATCTGGAAGTATGAATTTATAAAGTTGATTGCTTTTGTTATCAAAAAACTTCATCAGTAAGCTTCGTCCCATAGCCTACCGACAAATGCTAAAAGGGATTAGTTCTGTTAAGGTTGGGGCGACGATAAAAAGTGTAGGAAAGATAACGGTGAAAATGGGGATGGACATTATGTTATATTATCAGTATTTATACCGAAGCACTGCGTTGACGAAAAACAAATGATAGTAAATTTTCAGAAGAATACGAAGTGAGTGAGAATCTTCTCGAAACTTCCTTTTTGGTTGTCGCGTTTTTGCGAGATTAAGACTGAAATACCTTGAATCTCACAGCTTCAACTATAGGTACACTAAAACAAATTTCTCATGATTCGGTGCGCTCTGTTGATACATGAGATCCAACTTCAGGAATTTTTAGACTAACCGACGCTGGGTGGCACTGTAGTATTTTAATTTTTTTTTTTGTGGTTTTATGCCGAAAAAATATAGTGCATTTGTCAGATTTTAAGACTAAAAAAATAACAGTTTTAGCGTTCTTCCCATAACACCAGCTTTTGAAGACATAAGATCACAGACGACCGGATTCGATTTTTTATTTTCACTTCACCCTTAAAACTAAATTTAAACTTGTTTTCGACGTACAATTTTAGTCACTTTCTCTTTGCTATCTTTTCATTTACCGCAACGAAACAGGTGAGAGAATCTGATTTTATTAATAACTTCTGACAACTCTGAAGTCGACTCTCGCTGAGACAAATGGAAGTAAACATCTGAAGCGCGACTGTCAGTCACGCATGTTGCGTCCGTTTCAGAATATTTCTCAATTGACGGTTGAAGTATTTATTAAATCCAATAATCTCAGAATGTAATATAAAATCATAAATTGCTCGAGCAATTATAATAATCACTCAATAAACAAATTTATTTGGAAATAGTTACAATTATTACACTTTGCAACAAGATGCAACTGCATCAAGAAAACTTGAGTAAATTTTTGGGAAAACATTCCAATTATTCAAAATGAGATACTATCCTCAGAGAATTCTAAAAAATATTTTTAAATTATTGATAAAATATCGTAATATAGTATATACCTGATTTTTACGAAAAGTTTCGTTAATATTAAGAAAAAATTCTCGAGGATAAACAGAACCTAACGATTTCCGATCGCAGAAAACATGAGCACACCTATAAAATGCTATAGTAAAAATGAAATAATAACTGAATAATTACAATTGAAGTTATTCAATATGCGAACCATGTTCTTTTGCATACAAATGTGGGAAAACTGTTCGATATAAAATCAAATTAAAACCATAAAATTTTGTTAACAAGAATCGAATCTTATATGGTGTGCAAATAGACGAAGGACATTGTGATCTAAAAAGATCGCATATCCCTATGATAAAAAATCTGAAAACTATTAAAGCTGTTAAAATAACTGGTAAGCAAGGAAGATTATGGACGACTAATTTGTCGTTATTGCTTCTGGAACAGGTCAATATAGAGCTACCGTAAAAAAAATATTAAGAATTTATAAAAGACATCAAGAATTTGCACGTGTCATACGATTTGGTTTCGAATTTTCTGCCGAAACAAATATTTATTAGCAGCAAATCACAATTAGAATAATTAGCTAAGGTAAATAGTCTTACTTATTTCAAAGGAAATTCATTTATGTAGGTATAAGCTCGTTGAAAAATATAGAAATGTGCGCTATCAGTTAAATACTTACTACACAGGGTGAACCATCGTTTACGTCGTTTAGTAAACATTTTATAATTTTATTTTTAATAAATAGCAATTAGGTTTAAGGAATTTTTTTTTAATTTGGGACTTTAAAATGCAATTGCAGTACTTTTTGTATGAATCAATTTCTTGGTTACACCAAAATTTTACACATTTTGCTCAATTTTCAATTACATTTTTCGAGATTATGTGTGGTGCTGGACAGTGGTCCAAAGATTGCTGGCGTACACACAACTTCGTTAATAATCCCACAAAAAAGAAGGACAAGTGAGTCAAAACTAAAATAAGGGTGTGCAAGGGAGTGTCACTTTTTGTTGAAATCAAACGTAAGACGTGATTTTTTATTAGAAGAATAAGAATCTTAGCTCCTCTGTCTTGTATAGATATTTGTTTATCTCAATCTTTTATTAATCTTAATAATAAAGCACAACGTAAGTAAGCAGCCAGAGTTCATGACTTTGTCATGACATTACGAGCACGTTAAGATTACTTATAATTCATGTATTTAAATTTTCAATGTATGACAATTACAATATTTGAAATTCTTTTGATTTAAATTTACATTTTAATTGTTTGTAACAGACTTTGATTTGAGTTGTCAAAAAGATAAGATTAAATACATACAAAAAACAATTGGCAACGCGGCAGTGTGCTGTAATTACATTAATTTATCGCTGCTTGAATGCTCAGCAGTTTTGTAAATTTTAATGCGGTTGTTTGATTCGGCGGGGAATCACATAGCCACAATGGCAGCTCATTAAGTACTCCCGCCTTCAGCAAGTCATTTCTATTTAACACTTTTAAAGGCAAAGCAAAATAAAATAAAATGAAAATATAGTAAAGAAACCAAAATCTACATATAGACAATTGTAAGGCAACACTTGAGACAGGAAATGTTTGTCTAGATAATCACTCTATTGAAGTAACACTAATTTTTTATAAATGACAACAAAAAATTTAACAAAAAATAGATACAAATTTTTATAATCACCATTTACAGTAATCACCGAGATACTTAAGACCGATAAAAACGACAAACACACACTCAAGAATCTACTGAATGCCAACATATGTACAAGTATGTGGGTATTTACTTCCTGGTATGCGAGTCATTTATTTGACTGCAATTTCTTGTACAGAATGCAAAAGACTGGCGGCTATTAAACTAAGAAGTTAAAAGAAATATAAAAAAAAGTTCCAAAAATAATTATATAAAAAATTAACGCATATTGCCGTCATTTTATATCCAAAAATATGTTATTATTTTTGTTTACCATTCATTTTTCTGTTTACTTCACTTTTCGCTATCTAACTTATTTTGGTAAACATTCAATGGCCACTGAAGAAGTTGTAGTTTATTATTTTTCGTTCGGCAAAGTTAAACCAACGCATTGAAAGTGAATGAACCGCCTTGCATTTAATTTTTAACTTTTTTAATTTGATTGTTTTTTTGCAGCTTGAATTACTCATACAATTTTGTAATGAACACTTTAAATACTGCAACACTTGAAATGTCATTGCATTCCGAACATATTTACGACAATTACAAAAATAAAAAAAGGGAAAAACGTTAAATGCGGCTGCACGAAGCTATAATATCCTTCACAAAGAAAAAAGTTTCCATACAACAACTTGACTTTGAGCGGTAAGTTTGTATGGTAACTATATGCTACATATAGTGGTCCGATATTGGCTGTTCCGACAAATGTGCAGCTTCTTGGTGAAAAGACAGTGGGTGCAAAAGCCGACATCTTAAAAACAGTGGGGCTACTTCGCATATATGCTGACAGACGGAAGACAGACAGTCAAAACTAGATCGATTCAGTTCGTCACGCTAATCATTTATATATACAATACATTTTATAGGGTCTCCGACGATTCCTTTCGTGTTACAAACTTTGTGACAAACAAAATAATTGTGTCGAATTTTTAATAAATGAAAACCGTTTATTTATATTGCCCGCAATAGTACAAGTCCTATAACGAAAAAGTTGTATGGCAAAGTCATAGGTAATAAAAAGAGCTACAACTTGTTTACAAAGGCCTTTGTCACATAACCTAAAATTAATGTGCAAAATTGTAATAACCAAGATTTTGGCTTTTGAGTTTTACCATTTACATTTTTTTTTTGTTAAGAAACTTTGTGCAAATTAACATTTTTTTGTTTCAAACTGTATTTTTTTTTTTTTTTTGATTTAATAAATGCATTTTTTAACCTTATTTTGACTTAATATTGGAAAAGTTCCCTAATTTTAAATCGAAAATTCCCACGTCAAAATATGAGATTTTTAAAAAAAAGTTCATGGGCTTTTTCTACATTGAAATCTCTACTTCTTAATGATATCAAAAATATGTACATTACTATAGCAAATGTCCTCAAAAAATGAAAAAAGACCCCACTAGATGATTCAAAGCTGTTTTTTTTCATCTACCAGTTATCTGTAGTATATTTTTTCAAACGGTTTGTACAATACAGTTCAGAAGTGATAGAAAATGAGATTAAAAGTGTATTAAGGGAATAAAGTTTCGAAATTTTGATTGGGACAATATTGAGTTATGAGTTATGAGTATGTTTATAGCTGCCTTATCAACGTTTTGTATCAAATTTTTTAGTATTTATATTACTTGCATTACTTCAATACCGATTCTTTTTATACATATTATATTTGGAATGCCATTTCGTACATAATTTACCAGGTAAAGCTAAAGCTTTGTTCAAATTTGCAATTAATTTTTATTTTACAATAAAAAATTGGGCGATTTCTTTCAAAACTATACCGTTTTTTCCTTTAAAGTGTTTCTAAAAAAATTAAAAATTGAACTTTCAAAAAAAACCCTACCAAGAGGGTCACCTCTAGTGAATAAAACTCTCCTTTTTGACTTTGGATGATGTAACACCAAGTTATAAGGGCCGCGCAAATCTACTTTTTTCCGAGACAAGTTGTAATAATTACTGCTATTGCTGTAGTTTTCTTAATTTCGTCGTGAAAATTGTATAAAATATTCTGTCATACTTTCATGTGGTTTT